GACACGGGTGAAACCACAGTGCAGGATCGTGGGTTGCCTCTGTTTAATATAGCCAGACAGACTATCTATTTGGCTTGTGTACACACAGGGAAATTGTGACAGAAGCAGGAACTGACCAACTAGACATTTATGCATTTTTTGGATTTTCAAAATACTACTGCAAGTTTGCATAAAAGAAATAAAACTCTCTGTCATTCCATGCAACATGAGGGCTGCAGCTGGCTTCTGACTACCCGGAGGAATCAAGTCTGTCATTTCTAGTCTACATACACAAAAAACTAAATCTTTCTCTTTTTATTCTATGCTATGGACAGCTTGAGCTTGTCTTCTGTCGAGAGGTGTGCAGAAAAATTTTGTCTGCCAAAGCTCTTGTTGAATGAGCCCCTGCGTAGGTAGCCATTCACCTCCAGATCCAATTTTTCAGGGGTCGGGCAATTCAGCAGCTCCATATAGGACCTTAATAAAACATTCCAAGAAAGCTCCAGGGACATACAGGCATTAAAGACTGTTAACAGCACCATAATTAAAAACAAATTAACAGGAAATCTGAAATTGCCTTAAGAATTGTTCCTGTCTTCTGTCACATCTCATGAATCTCAAATTACCTTTGAAATTTGACTTGGTATTTCAGAATAGCTGCAAGATCGACAAGCCTCTACAAAGGAGTTGGAAATCTACAAAATTTGCTTCTTTAGCACTAAGACCAGACGATATCTTTGACAGTCTGCATGGCACTGACACTTTTAAAACCCTTTATTTACTTCAGAGGAAAGGAACAGCACAAAAGAAGATGGCTTAGTAGCTGCAGTTGTATTTGTAGTGAATATTTCTCTGGCATGACTGTTGCTTACTGCTGAACTTGAAACAAATTAACCCTTTCTAACCAAACATCCTTCCTGTCACAGGAAGGGTTTGGTAGTTTCCGCATCCTCATTTAACCAGGTGTCTATTTTGATACCTAGGTAATGAATGAAAATGAAAAATTCTTCCGAAAGAATATGGCTTGACCTTCCCAGCATTTTAGAAAAAGCTATGTTTAAAGATTTAAACTATTCCTTATTATATTAATAATTTTTAATAAAAGTGAACCAGAGGAATTATATAAGATTTTGACTCCACAGAGAACTTGAAATTTGCTTCAAAATCAATTATGAAACTATAGGTATATGCTGATGAAACTATAGGTATTTATTGTGTGCTCACCAATTTAAAAAACAATGACAAAATTTGATTTTGCAGGAAAACACAATTTAAATTCAGTGTGTCAAGATGGCTATGATTTCATTAAAAGTCTGATGTTCTCAGATATTTTCTTAAAAGCTCAAATCCTATGTAAAGGTAATTATGTGATGATTTCAAATTTTATTTAATAACAATGCAATTCTCCAGGTGCAGAGAAAATCTTGAAAATGTTTCCCAAGTGTATGATGGAGACTCCAAACCCGCAGACAAATAAAAGGCCCCTTAGATAACAGACTCTAAAATTCCAGGTCTTTGTGAACTTGTCTTATTTTTTTTTCAGGACTGACAATTCTGCTTCCTTAAAAAAAAATAATTTGCATTGTCAAAGAACATCAGAAAATATAGCTTGTCACTTTTGTCAGCTTAGCAGTTTTTTGTCATTGCTAATAGTGCGGCTTCTCTTATTGGTTAGACTATAAATTTCCTCAGCAAGTTTTGGGTAGTTTTTTTCCTCTGTATGCTAACTGGATTTTTGTTTAATCCACAAAACAGTTATCAACCACACTATATCATGTAAATTCCACCAATTTGTTTTGTTTTGTTTTTTCACTTGCCAAACTTGCATGCATGAAATTAATTTCTGCTTTCTGCCAGGCTGTGTCGACACATGTCAGTGTTTTGGTGGCCCAGCTACCTAGGAGCAGCCCAGAGGAATTGATCCGTCCTCACAGCAAAGCAACGGGAAAGGGCAGGGCAGCAGAGAAAAGGGAACTGAAAAGTGTTTGAACAAAACCAGTCCAGGACACCAACAGATATGGGATTGTTTTGTTCAGAAATCTAGTTCCCGAGGTGTCCAGATGAGGCCACTGTGGTTTTATTATCCCGACTGCCAGAAAAGAATTTAATTTGGTTACCTCAGAGTTTCCCATCTCCGCAACTGCAAATGTGCTCAATAGCCTGTTTTTCTCTTGGAGAACAAAGAAAAGGAAATGTTTTGGTTTTGTTTTTTTTTTTTTATTTTATTTTGCACAGCAGTTACAGTACTTGCGGAGGCAGGAAGGGAACTGGACAATGGAAGCTGCAGATGTGGAATTTCTTTTTTAAATCTCCCTTGCTGCTGCTGCTGCTGCTGCTTCCTGACAGGCAATGAAGAGAGGGCAGTGCAATAGCAGGAGGTGCTGCAAGGCTGGAGCAGAGCAATCATTTTTGTTTGGTAGAGAGCCCCGGGTGAAGCTTTCCAACAGCAGCCTGACCCGGACTGTGCTGGGCTATGTCAGAGGCTTATTTTCAAACTGGCGGCGTGATGCAAAACCAGGGAAGGGTACAGAGAGCTTTGGCTGAGTCACACTGTTAGGAAATGGGGATTTCTGTGGTGAGAGGCTGGACTGGGCCCTGCCAAGTCTCCGGGCAGTGAACCCTAGCGCACTTTGGAGATGGGGACGACGTTCTCATCCAAAAATATCTGTCCAACCAGGGGGGAGACTGTGGCCACAGGGAGACTGTGCTTGCTTTGTGTTTTGTTTTCATTTGTTACTAAAAGTGACCTCCCAAAGGAAGAGCTCTGAAGCAACCATGGGTACATGGTTGCGCATGTGAACCCAGCCATGGGGAGGGATGCCGGCCACTGGGCAGAGCTGTGGCAGGTTCCTCATTCCAGAAGTATGATCAAAAGAATGACAATGCCTATACTTTGTAAATGGTCTCTAAACAGCTTTTTTTCTTCCCTTCATGTTTGCCACTGCAGAAGGGAATGCTTTGTTCAAATCCTTTTAGGCTGTCTGATAATAGGTGCATTTTTAACAGCAGCTGGGTAGACAACCAGAGTCAGGACTTGTGAGAAGCTCTCGGTTTTGCTTCTCCTCGTGCTTGGGCTGAGGGAACACATTTTGGCCTTAGGTCCTCCTGTCATGCAAGGCTGAATCTGGCCTGAACTTGGCCTCCTATTGGGTTTCTGCTCCCCCACTGAGTGGCTTCTCTGCCTCCAGCAGCAGGGTTATCTCTGCCAGTCTGGGCAGCATGTTTGGATGGTGATTAACAAGAACACTGAGTCAGAGCTTGTGGCTGTGATGGGATTTAATATCATGTTTGTTTGTAAACTGACCAGTATTGGCAGAAAGTGCTTGCAAGGGAGAGATCTGTGACTCTCATTTAAGCTGCCAACGTGCTCTAACCAAACAGCTACAACTGGCCTCAGCCCTTTCCAGGCTCATCCAGGCACTCCAGGGGATGCAATATTTCAGTTGTTTTTATGCCACGCAGCCCTGTTAAGGTACATGCTTTAATTGTGTGGTTCACTCAACTCACCACCATCTTGTGCTTCTCATTGTGGTCCTGACTCCTCTCCTGTTGTAGGGCCCCGCTCACTAGACACAACCACATGGGTGCTCCCTCTCCTCCCAAGCAGGTACAGATCTGTGAGGGACCCAAAACTGCAAAGAGACTGAGCAGTGCTTGGCAGTAGGAAGGAACAGTGGGGACTGACTCCAAAGAGACTGCTGGAATGCCCCAACTCCCAGCTGCAGCTTCATGCATAGTCCTTTACCATCTGAGCTAACACAGGGTTTCAAGGTGAGGCTCTATGAAATTAGGTGGTAAGGAGGGTAAATCCATCACCAAATTTCTCAGGCAGCAGCAGAGCATCTTCATCACCACAGATCCACTGGAGAGGAAAAGACCTGAAAGTTTTGTACTGCTTGCTCCCATTTTCACCTAGTTTAAGTGGTGCCTGAAGTTTTTCCGTATCCTTTTTAGGGTCCCTTTGAGTTTAGACTCACTGCATATACTGTAGCAGTACAATTTCCTTTCATCAGCATAGCTAGCTTCAGCTGTTGTTGGGTATTATTATATCTCACTGCTTCCTTCCTCTCCCATCAGTCCTTCTATCCTGGAGTTAAATGTCATTTATAGTTTGAGCTGTTTGACTGCAAGTCCCCTTGTACCCTAGAATAGCCCAGAAAGACGGGGAAGTTCACAGAGAAAGGGACATCAAGTGACTGCATTTTATGCAGCACAACAGAACCAGAACCCCAAACTCTTGCTGACAGCTGTGAAATTATCACATGACATTTAGGACAGAGTAATTTGGGCAGAACTGCGCAGTACAACTGTGCACACTTGGAAACGTGGGTAGCAAGCAATCATCCAAGTGGGCGCAGATACCACTGGAAAATGTCACTGCTGCAGTAAAGGTGGTACCCTTTCTGAAAAGAAATAGGCCTATCCTCACCACAAAGGGGATGTAAAAGCTAACACTTTCACAAACATTTACTTTTTACTTTTCTGTTTGTTTGTTTGGGGTTTTTTACTAATTAGAAAAGAAGGACTGGCATGAAAAGTCTTTACCAGCACTTTTGCAGAATGCAGAGCTTTCTGGTGGACTGGTAACTATTTCAGTAGAATCAGGAACATCAAAATAAAAATGATTGTAAAAATGTCCTTTAAATTTGAATTTAAATGATAGCTTATTTGTTTGTTTGTTTGTTTTCTTCTACAACTTGCTTGTTTGTTTTTTGAAGTCACTCTTGTTAATTGTCCTGAAGCCATGGTATGTAGCAGATAGCCAAGAAAGCTGACATGGTGAAGTTATATACAGCGTCCTTGTGACCTTTTTGCAGTGAAGATACATATCTGTCCAATAAAGCCCAGGCCAAATGACAGTGACAGCTGCTTTGTGGCATTCAGTTTGAATTGAACAGGTTTGCTCACAAGTCAGGAGCAAGTATTTCATTACAGACTGTGCACCAAGACCAACATAACCCCCCAAAAGTGAAACTTTCCCTCAGCAGCTATGGAAACTGCCCCAGTGGACTGAGGTGCACTTCACAGGCTCCTCCTTGTCTCCTTGCTTTGACTTTCCCGCCTCCTGCGAGCTGTCATCCTCTGTTGCCATTTGAATGTTGGTGTAGCACTTGCAAGGGAAGAAAACCTCACTTCGTCTCTCAGGAGGGATCCAGGGTGTTATGGGAACTGAGCACTCGAAGAACGAGGGGCGAAGGAGCAAGGTTTTTCTGAGGAAAGGTCCAAAGTTGCCTGCATGGGAAGATGCTCTTCTCTCAGGGAAGGAGCCCAAGTCACTGCTGAAACGGGGATTGCGTTATGTCAGCGTGAGCCTCATAATGAAAGGGATGACCAGCACGCCTGACTTCTTATGGGGACTGCCCGAGGTACAGAAACTAAACCTTTCATGCAACCAGCTTGTGGTGATTCCTCCTTCGCTGGGGAAACTGGACAGGCTGGTAGTACTGAACTTGGGTGGCAATTGCCTCAAGCGTCTGCCTAAAGAGATTGGGCTGCTGAGGAACCTGAAGGTTTTGTTCGTCAATATGAATTGCCTAACAGAAGTGCCAGCAGAGCTCAGCTTGTGCAGGAAGCTGGAAGTTTTGAGCCTCTCACACAACTGCATCTCGCAACTACCTTTGAGCTTCACTGACCTAACAAGTTTGAGGAAACTGAACCTCAGTAACAACTGCTTTGTGCAAATTCCCCTCTGTGTTTTTGCGCTGAGGAGCTTAGACTTCTTGCATCTAGGGTCCAACAGGCTTGAAAACATCGCAGAGAGTGTCCAGTATCTGGTCAATCTGCAAATCTTCATCATAGAGAATAACAATATACGCACCCTGCCACGGTCCCTCTGCTTCATCACCAACCTGGAGTTACTAAACGTCAATTACAATGCCATACAGACTCTACCAGATGACCTCTACCTGCTACGCCGGCTGCCACGCATCGCGTGGAACCCGATAGACAAAGGCCTCCACATTGCTCACAACCCCTTGTCCCGGCCCCTGCCTGAGGTCGTTGAGGGGGGACTGGATGTCCTCTTCAACTATCTCAGGGAGAAAAAGGAGCACAACTGAGTTTCCACTGAGCTTGGGATTAATCCTGTCATCAAGACTCAGACGTATCAGAGTGCTGCACAGGCATTTCCACTTCATAACGCTTGGATTTTGAAGACTGTGGATGGCTGTATTAACAGCTGGAGGAAAGCAAGTAAAGTATGATGGGCTTGATTAAGTGTGTGAAGAGTAAAGTTTCTAAAACTATCCACCTCTGTAACCTTCAGTGTTGGTCTGTTTGGGTTTTATTAGGAAAAAAAAAAACCACAAACCTGTGATAAAGTATTTGCTCTTCGTTTGACAGAAACAAATTAAGGCAGACTGCTAGAAGTGCAGAAATGTGTATTTGACAGCTATTAGGTTGGAGGAATATTAATATAAAATGGATTTACTATATGTGATTGCAGTTGCACTTTAACTTTTGCTCACTTCTTCATGCACAGATAAACCACTACATAAACAAACACTGCTGTCTAAGTGAACCTCAAGGAAAATGTTTAATTTACTTCCAGCAGTGAATATATCCTGAGCTATATTAGCCCAAAGACAGTATATTTCCAGTCAGTTCAATATCATTTGTTGTTTACCCCACAGTTGTGTGCTGGCCTCTATAAATTACAGGTGAAGATCACTGTTGATGAGGTGATTTCACAATTCTTTGGAAAAAGAGCCCAAACTTCCCCAAAGTCCCTAGTTCCCCTCCTGAGCCATGCAGCCTTTCCCACGGAGCTTCCTAGGGTGCCTACAGAGGTGAGTCATGTCAGCCAGCAGCAGCACCCACATGAAGCAAAGAAACAAACTTGGGTCCTCATTCCCTCAAAAGAAGGCTGTCAGATGAAGTTGCTTGTTACCAGATGAACAACTGCACTCCATTCCCTTTCCCACATCCCTGCAATTGAAGCCATGGAGTAACTTTACTCAGGAGGCAGTATGTCTCCTAAAAGAAGAGACCTTTCAGGAAAAGCAGCATCAAATCAATCATCAGCTTAAGTAAGAGCTTCAAAAACAAATACTTATTTCTGTGATTTTCAGTATCAGCCAGTAGCATAAAAGTCAGATCTTATGTGGTTTCTCATATTGATCTTCTGTGAATGTCCTTCATCAAAGTTTTATCTGGTAATAAAGAGGCAATATGAAAGAGCTGTTAACAATTTATGCAACCTGGGGTTTTTTTGTTCCCTCACACTAGTGTAAAACAAAAGCAACTCTGTTGAAATCAGTTGAGATAAATGCTTATAATGGCAGCATAAAAGAGGAATAAACCTGTAATTCTTGAGCTAATTAAGAGTATTTGAAGCCAGTTCTAAAGTGCTTCCTATCCTATGTCAGTTTTCAGGAATCAATGATTACTTTCTAAAACATAATTTGCTTGAAATTATGGGAGGCTGTGGAAGGCTGATCCTGCTTCTAGGGAAGCTGGGGGAAAAACTCTTCAGCAGAGGTAGAAGCAGCCTGATAACAGCAGACAATTATGTAATTCATAGGTACACACAAGAAAACACAGCACCTTTGGCCCTGGTAATGTTATCAGTGTGGTACTGAACGTAGAAATGGAGAATCAGTGCTCACAGAATATTCCACTCTGGGGCTGCCTTCCCCGATGTTTTATTATGTTGAATTGTTTTGTGTACCGTCTGTTATCTTAATAGAGAATTTCAGTGTTATACTCAGGAACTGCAGTTTCCAAGTGTGCAGTCAAGGACAAATCTTATGTTTCTAGCAAACAAGAAAACTTTTGAAGGGCACATTTGCTTGAGCATTAAGCAAACAAACAAACAAAGCAAGTAAACAAATACCAAAGCACAGTTATTTTGTTACTTTTTTTTACTTAATGTATGTTTCAAATGTAATTATATTTTATGTGTAGATTTGCACGTATATATTTCACCTATACAATGAGAATTACAGCAAAGTTTCAAGGTTTTTAATGAACACTATGTCTAACAAATTAATATGTGATTCAATTAGCAACAAGAAATAAAGCTGCAATTATTTATAGAAATACCAACAGATAATTCTTGGAGGGTATTAGGCACAGATTATTAACTTTTCTAAATGTCCATTTCATATCCCTAAGTCTGGTATTTATATAAACATTGCAGTCCCACAATAGTGGTTCACAGGAAAATTAGATGCCTAAGGCATTAATCACCTGAAAAGATTTTCCACATGTCAGTATCCAAGATTATATGACACCAGATAGCCTCCGATGTGATCTGACTAGAAGAGGTATGCACAGTAATTTACATGGAAGATGTGAGACTGGACTGTGTGTGATCATTAGGATACCACTACAGAGGGTGAGAAACAGTGTATGAGTCAAGAAAATGGTCTCTAGACAGGGGATTAAAAGGCAAATTTGACATAATTAAATGCATCTAGAAAAGCAGTTATAATATGAAGTGCAATACCAATAATTTAAAATTCAATTATTCAATTGAATAATAATAACCTTTTACTCAAGCTAATAAACTTTTGTAAGCATACGAAACACATAGTAGTCTGCCTTTTTAAACAGAATAATAAAATTCATTGAATAAATGGTACTTTAATGTATAATTCAGGTTTAACCATTAAGAAGATAATTTCTACTGAACTGCTTTAGTCTTTCTTTCATTCCTCAATCAAGACTGTTAAAAATAGCTTTCTCAGGGATATAGAAAATCATCTCACATGACTAAAGGTAGTGTTCTGAATTCTTCCTGTACAAAGAAAAGACTGCATATCATTGTTAATGTATAGAAATATGCATGGAAGCAAATGAAGATATTTGCATATGAGAGGGAGCAAGATAAAGAAAGCAAGCAAGAGGCACAGGAGGAAAGCAGAAAGCACGATGTCACACACTGGCCCTAGTTTGGAGCAGGGCATTACCAAAGAAGTGTTGGATCTCCCTCAGCAAGTTTGCTGACAACACTAAGCTGGAGGGACGGGATGCCATCCAGAGGGACCTTGACAGGCTTGAGAGGTGGGCCTGTGCTAACCTCATGAAGTTCAACAAGGCCAAATGCAAGGTCCTGCACCTGGGTCAGGGCAATCCCAAACATAAATACAAACTGGGCAATGAATGAATTGAGACCAGCTCTGCAGAGAAGGACTTGGGAATGGTGGTGGATGAAAAGCTCAACGTAAGCCAGCAATGTGCGCTTGCAGCCCAGAAGGCCAACTGTATCCTAGGCTGCATCTAAAGAAGCGTGGCCAGCATGTAGAGAGAGGTGATTCTCCCTCTCTATTTCGTTCCCGTAAGGCCCCACCTGGAGTACTGCTTCCAGTTCTGGAGCCCTCCACACAAGAAAGACATGGACCAGAGGAGGGCCACCAGGATGATCCAGGGGCTGGAGCACCTCTCCTGTGGGGACAGGCTGAGAGAGTTGGGGCTGTTCAGCCTGGAAAAGAGAAGGCTCCGGGGAGATCTTATAGCAGCCTTCCAGTACCTGAGGGGGGCCTACAAGAAAGCTGGGGAGAGACTTTTTACAAAGGCACATAGTGATAGAACAAGGGATAATGGCTTTAAACTGGAAGACGGTAGGTTTAGATTAGATATTAGGAAGAAATTCTTCACTGTGAGGGTGGTCAGACACTGGAACAGGTTGCCTAGAGAAGGATGTGGATGCCCCCTCCCTGGAAGTTTTCAAAGCCAGGTTGGATGAGGCTTTGAGCAACCTGATCTAGTGGAAGGTGTCCCTGCTATGGCAGGGGGGTTGGAACTAGATGATCTTAACGTCCATTCTAGATCTAGCCATTCCATGATCTCAGTGTTGTCATCTGAAATTAGCTGTGCAGATGACAGGGAAAAAAGGAGTTGAAATGCTGTAGGGACTGTAGTCATATCTCATAATGTATGACAACTACCATTTCTATCTGTATATTAAATGATACAATTTTGACTTATAATCTTTCAAAGAACTATATGGGGAATGTTACACTTGTTTCCAGTACTCACTGAAGTTTTCTAATCCTAAACCTCACAGCCGTATAACTTTTGATGCATCTATTATTTTTATTATTATTGATGATGATTTTCTTCAAAGGAATGGAAAAAATGGGATCCACTCTTGAAAAAGGATATTCTCTTGGCAGGGTGACTTTTCTATTGTTATCACTCATAGGGGCTCTCAAAGAGCTTAGAAAAATTCTTGATGTAGACAAAACAAAGGGTAAAGCACAAGAACAAAGTAGAAAGAACATAGTCAGGGGTCAAATGGTTGTGATAAATGTAATATACAACAGAGCTATACAATTTGTTGCCCTGCTGTCATCAAATACGTTGGTGGTACATTTGGTGAGGTGAATAGATTCCATCTATTTTTATTTTAAATCAAAAAGAAAGCTGCATTCTGTGAAAAGTTTAAAGTCTAGTCAACATGCAAAGCCTTTGAAAACTGGAAGGTTTCAGGCTTTTGGCCTAACCAAGGTTAGCAACTTTAACATTTGACTGAAAAGATAACATTTTAATCTGAAGTGTTACTGTAAAACCTCGCTGGGAGTTAAAGCAGAAATCTGTTGTACCTACTGCTCTGGGGCTACTGGCCAAACCTGCCATGAGGGCAAACACTTCCTCACGCTGCTTGTGACTGGTGACTTCCCAAAATCCACTGCAATGTCCCAGCAGCCCCGTGGGGCACCCATGGGCATGTAAACTGGCTGGGAATACCGGCCCATTATGTGAGCGAAGCAGCAAGAACCTGCAAAGATCAATTTCCAAGATGCACTGGGGTGACATTTCAAAACAGATATTTTCAGATTACAGCTGAAAACTCTTGAAATTCAGATTGAAGATTTTATTATTATTTTTTTGGCTGAAAAATATGTCAACTTTTTTTTACAACTTGCTAATATTTTCTCCATTTTCATTAAATTCCTCTTTTTTGTCAAACTCAAGAACTGGTTTTAGGTATTTTTACTATACAAATTTGCATTCTGCAGTTTAATTTTTTTAGGATATAAATGAATTAATTTCTTATCACTACATTGTAGTTTCAGGAAACCATATCTTTCAGTTAATATTTTTAAGAACTTTA